GTCTAGGTAGATTTTTTATCTTCACTTTTGTGCGATCACTCCCGCAGCGAGGTGTCGCAGGCGTCTAATTTATGGCTCACATCTTTAAGACTGTATTCTTTGTATTAGATAGATATGTTTAGATTCTTCAAGAATGGATTCAAAGAAAGATGACGATGTAATGTAATATTTTATATTTTCTAATAATGTTATTAAGTTTTCAATGTATTTTCTCCTTAAAGAATGACGTTCCTTTTCTAATTAGGATGACATTAGTGAAATAAAAGTTATATCCAGCATCGTTTCGATGCAAAATGAAAGAGTTAGACCGATTGCCCAAACGTAAATGACTATTATGTTCGTAGATGCAAGCTTTTAGATCACGTGATGTCTCCTTCCACATAAAAGTTTTGCATTGTAAACAATTTATCTGACCAATGAGAACTGACCCAAACATAATTGTAAACACCATTGTTTTCTGCCGTATTTTGTCTATTTTCTCTTAATCTCTGTCGAAGCGTTAATAAAAGTGGAACGTTAGACAGATACCATTAATGTTAGTGATAGACATATGACTTTATCTTTCCTAATGTTATATAATACAGCCAGATGACATTAATCTGTCCTATAAGAGCTAAATAAAATCTTGAAAAAAAAACATTAGTAGCTTAATAATGTCCGCGAGTATATGTCCACGAGGACAAAATTGAGCATTTAGCATTTTCTGAAACGGAAGTCTACATCGTATCCAATTGCTACAGACTTTTGTTACGTCTGAGACGTCAATAAATTCTTTGATTTCAACCCACTTCGTACAATGGAGAGTCTGGTGGAACGTCTCCTTTGGAATTAGACACTAAAATCATTCTCCTGCAAGAGTTAATGTAAACCTTACCTAAGCGGCACTATCTGACTATAAAACTGGTGACGATTTGCTCTGAAATCATTTTAACTTCGTGCAAATTTAAAACAGCCAGAAATGGCAAATCCAATTTATTTTGCAAAGATTATTGATTTTTCAAACAATTGTTAAACTCTTTTATTGATTTTAAATTAAAAAAAAAATAACAGTGTTTTATCTGGAGTTCATTTATCAACGAATCGGAAATGTCATTACGCGTTAGCAAACAGGAAAATTAGACTATCGATTTGTTTAGTCTGTCATCCGTTTCTTGAATATTTCCAGCTTACCTGTGGAATGCTGATCATTAAATGGTGATTACTTCGGATTATTTAGTTAGGTTATTTGTTTATAACAAAGCAGTAGTTAGTAATGACATCATGCAAAGCAAAACAAAACAAAACTTAATGTCAAAGTTTTCAATTACACTTTCTTTTTTTTTCTTTCCTCGGGTATTTTTTCACATTTAAGCAACAGGCGTGTTTTTTTTTTCCAAAGACGATTCTCGATTCCGCACTAAATCTGTGCATTTAGATAGGAATTATGCAAATGATCATTAGTTTCAATTGCTAAAAAGGAATGTTTTATTGTATTGTATCGTTTATTTTTCTTGTGCCCTCTTATTGAATAAAAAGATTTATATATCACAATGTTAACGCTTTCCATATTTTCAAACTTTCATTGTCTCGTGATATCGAAACGATAAAGCCTGTCTTTTCATGTCTCTCTTTCGTCACAAATTCCTCTCTCTTTTTATGTATACATTAGGCTGAGTCAGAAATAATTTCCGTTATGATTTTCTTTTATATATATATATATATATATATGCAATGAACTGTTGTCGCTTGTCAGGTAGTACTTCTATACCTTTCGAATAGATTTCCACAGGTTTTGACGTGAATAGGTTTTTGATGAACACAAATCTGGTTCTTATTAGAGAAATTTGTAACAACAAAACACATTAACCAATTATTACTTTTTTTTTTACTTATCGCTTCAGATCGGAAAAAAGTAATAACTGGTTAGTGCAGGGACAAGTGAATATCGTAGGTGGTTTAGAACAGACCACCCGAGTTCATAAAATTCTTTTCTCGGCTGTTCTTGCTGTATGTAGACTTGTATAGCACTGATGGAAATTTTTCCTATTGACGAGCATTTTCACCAAATTATTATCAACACGTTACCGTTGCTGGACGTATAAATTTGCTTTTAGTGTTTGATTGCGTTTTGATAATTCTAACTGGATAATAGCAGACACGGAAAAGAAATTACAAAATCCCCTACAGAAGGTAGCGAGGGAGAGCGAGAAGAAAGGACTAAGCATAAACTACAAGAAGACAGAATGCTTGATCATCAGTAAGAGGAAGTGCCCGAAATGTCATATTTGCAGGTTGGGGACACTAGAATCAAGCAGAGGCGGAAGTTTAAATATCTGGGAAGCGTTTTGACAGAGGACGGTAAGTGCGACGCTGAAAACTGTAGACGTATTGGGATGGCCAAGGACACATTCCAAAAACTTAGCAGCGTATTGCGAGACTGGGAGGATTTCTTTAGTAACAAGGAAAAGAATACCAAGTTGTTACGTGACATCTGTCCTTCTTTACGGCAGCGAATGTTGAACGATTTCCTCAAAGATGAAGACTAGACTCGAGGCGACGGAGATGTGGTTCTACAGAAGGATGCTAAGGATATCATAGACCGAGTATGAAAGGACATGTCACATGAAAAAATAATCAAGAGTTGAATGCTATTCCTCAGAATTATACATTCTTTCATATAACAATTTTTATGATAATCAAAGTTAGTAGCTGTAGATATTCTATGTATATTGGTTCAAAGTTACCCGAGTTATAGCTCCATTTATGTTAATTATCAATCAGTTAAACTAATCCCATTTCATCTTCCTTAATACTTGGGATCTACGTCGTCTCCTACAAAAATCATTTCATACTTATCATTTATCTAGTATGTCTGCTCAACAGTAAGCAGCTTTTACATTGGGATCCCATTAAGATTAGCATACATATTGTTGTAACATACCTACGGACGATAATGGGTATGTCCCCATTCACACAAATACAGTAGTAAATACTGTATGTTGGTCTGAAGTTGGAGATTCGTCTCCAGCTGTGCTGCTCAAACTCTCTGCCTCCGGGAAAAGAGGATCCCCAGACAAGGCTATTTGGAATGGCAGAAACTCGTTTTGGGAAACAGCTACCCGTTTTATTTGAAGTCTACGGTGAAATTTAAGTTCTGGAATTATTCAAAATATGAAACTATCAAACGAAGAACGATAGAATAAAACAAGGGGAATAAAAGAAACTAACATACTTATCTTCTTCATGTTGACAGATTCTTATTAGGTACAACTGGTGTTAACGATAGTTTCTTGGTCGCACAAGCAGATTTGACTTTTAGCCTCGTTTTCTTATCAGAGAAAGTCACACCGCTCTCCTTCTCCTATACATTACCCATCGATAAAAGACATTGAAACTTTATATGTCGTGCGATTTCATCGTCAATATATTTTCCATATCAAAAACATAAAACTGATCAGAAAATCATTACTTCAATTAAACTTTTAAAGCGTTCCATTTTTGTCTAAATTGTGATCTGATACAAATAATTCCTTTTATTTTTTTTTTTAAATGTTTCACAATCGAATCATACTGAATTAAATTAATTCCAAAGAGAATGCTACAATACAACTGCTTACGGTCATATCTCACTGAAAATACCGTTTGACGTTCGATCAACAAAGTTAAGCAGTGTCGAGTACGATCAATATATAGATGGCGAGGGGTGCGCTTGGGAACACCGGGGTAATGTAATCAGCCTCCTACAATCCGAAATATGTTTCGACCGTAAATAACCCTCAAAATGTTAATAAGCCATAAAAGAAACAAATTAATCTTTATACTATGACTACTCAAATATATATAGAACGTCGACAAAGAAGGTAAAAATAAACAGAAACACCGTAGGCGTAATATCATGTGGTTTAACCCGGCTTTTTAATCTTAATGTTCAAACGAATAACGGAAGAATTTTCCTAAATTTAATTCATTTGCACTTTAATCAGTCACCAACACTAAAAAAGATTTTTAACAAAAATAATAAGATCACCTATAGCTGCGTTAGTAACATCGATAAATCTATATCCCAACATGACAACATTATATTAAATATATATATTTCCAACAAAAACAATGATATTTTTTAAACAAATGCAAATGCCGAAAAAATTTGTCCCTTAAACGATCAATTTATGCCTGATAATATTGTATGCCGAACTAGTATACATTCGGGTAAACGATGTCAAATTTTATTTTGGCTCGATTGTAAATCCTTGGAAATTTCCTTTCATTCTTCATCAAATGATTTTAAGCAATATAAAATATAAAAACAGCACTCCTCTCTCTAAATATTTCTGGCAATTACAGAATGGTGGTAATACACTTCTTATCACGCGGGATATTGTGGCAAGAGCCAAATCTTACAATGGGAAAGACAGATAAAATGTGAGCTTCAACGAAATTCTAGAGATAATAGAATAAAAAAGGACACTTACATCTACCATCAAGAAGAGACAGTCGAAATTTCTGGGGCACATGATGAGGTAAGAAGGCTAAGAAAATTTGATATTCACAGGAAAATTTGAAGGCAAGAGAGACAGAGGAAAGCAACGCACAACCTACCTGGCGAGCTTGAGTAAATGGATGGCGGGGTAGGGTTTCGGAGAGATGGCATAAAGGCAACATTTATTAAGTTTCAAAGGACAGGAAATTGTGGAGAATCATGAAGAGTTTAGAAGATTTTTGTCACTTGAACACTTGTGCAAATATTATCTCTGCTCAACGAATAGGAATAATAATATTATTATTATTATTATTATTATTATTATTATTATTATTATTAATATTATTATTATTATTATTATTATTATTATTATTCACTGCTAATAAATACCAGTATACAAGAAAAAGACCATCAAAGGGAAAAACCAAAAAAAAAAAAAAAACATTTCACGATTTTCGAGCGAAACATCCAAGTTTAAAGAAGTAGCCTTCCGGTTACGTCATTCTCTTTCCTGCATTATTCTTGTGGCCAATGATCAAAGTCAAAGACGAACGTGCGGTGCTGTTTCAAGAAATGTCCAATGTATTGTTTGAAATAACCATTTCGAAAGGAAATGCTCACATAAGACGATTTTTACCGGCAACTCGACGACCGTTGACCGTAACGGTTTCCGTGAACGCATTTTTGCCACATTTCTGTGTAGATATTTCCATCGGTTCTCATGTCGTAAAAATACGTCAACGAAAACAGTAGGACTCTTTTATTTGTTTTTATAGATATATACACACCTGCACGCACGCGCACACACCCACAGACTCACACAGACACACAGGCACACACACCACTCCACTCATACATATATAAGTTGATTGCGAGAAAACAGAATATACTAAAATTGTCAGTTGTTGATCAACTGTTAGCGACCCATTCACGCTGAATATCGCTAGTTTAATAGGCTCAAATTTGCAAGGAGCACTTCACAATGTGGGCCTTGTACCATACTAAGTTAACCTCAGTAAATATCAGGCCTCGTAAAAATATGTAATAGTAAAATATTTAATCTCATAAAACAATATATATATATATATATCCAAAAAAATTTAATAAATTAAAATATTTATTAAAATAAAATTTTTATAAATTATTTTCTGTAATCTAGTCAAATTATATCTAAAACATCTTTCAAAAAAATTCTGTAATTTCTAGCGTCTCTGTTTCATGCGCATGTGTAGTCACAACAACGTCAACAAATACAGTTCAATGAAGTCCTCACTTATTAATGAATCACAAATATATATATATATATATATATATATATAATTATTTATTTAAAAATATGATTCCAACTCGCGACATAAGAGGTCTCATGTTTCAAAACAAGAGCCGAAAACTTCAATATAATTATTTGAATTAAATTGAGTTAAATTAAGCTCTGTTCCATCTTCAAGCGAAATTTTTTTTTGGAATAACGTATTTCTGAAATTTACGTGTTTTAATAATTGAAATCAAAATTTCCATGGTAACAGCTAGGGCGAATTGTTTAAATTGGGTAGGCGTATGTTGGGTGTTAATAATAAGTATCAGTATAGAGTTACTTTCATAGATGTCAAGTCAGGGTAAGGTGGGGGTGTCTAAATTTGGAACGGAAGAAGTATAACTCTAGTCTGGTTTGCGTGTCTATGGAGATTTATTTATTTTTTTTATTTTATTTTTTATGAAAGGGATTTGTGCATATAAAAAAAATTGCCGTAACGTTTGTTTTTTGACGACTTCATAAAGGGTTATCTTTTTTGTGGGGTATTTAAACTATTTATTTGGGCTATGGATTATAAATGTTATTATATTGTATGCTTGTTTTTAGCTAATAATTCAAACCATAGATTTGATGATGTCGACAAAAAACTCATGTCTATTGTTTAATAGATTATTATTATTTAGAAGCTTAATAATGTGCAATTTCTTATGGAGGCACAAAGGACATGGGTCATCCCAAGTTTTACATGTTCTCGCCCTGTTTATAATTTTCCATTTAACTTTAGGTGTTCTATTTGTTTCCTTCAGATGCCAAAAATATTTAGATAGGGAAGTCTCTTTTCTTTTAGTTATATTATTGAAAGAGCACTTATGCTGCCTCCATCTATCTTTAAAATTATTAATGTATATCATATTAGTGCTAGGACTCTCAGTGGATGATATAGTACATTGGTATACCACAGATTTAATTTAATTTATTTTCTAATGGGCAGTCTTCTAGGTTTCTACAAGTAAAGTGTTTCTTGCATCAGCAGCAGTAATAGTCCCTGTTTAGAAATTTACTTATGAATAAATAATTTTTTCAGGAGCATGTATATATATTATCATCCACGGACAGGCTGTTTTGCTATTTCACAGCTCATCAGTGTACTACTTTTCGATATCGGAATATTTTACGAACCCTTTTTTTCGCACTGAATATGAAATAGGGTGCTTGAAATCATTTTCAATATATTTCTCATCATGTAAATATTGAGGGCTGCAAATTCTGAGTGCTCTTATGTAGAATCCGATGATTATACCGGATTTTATTTTGTTGCTATGATGGGAATAGAAAAGTATGAGATCGTTTTATATGTTCTTTTTGTATGTTCTACTGTTAACGCTGTGTAGCATGACACTTAAGAACTTAGTTTTTTTTTTCTATTTACTATGTATATTCTATTGTTATGTTCAACTTTGTTTAGTTTATATAAAAGATTAGTTAAATCAGTATCACAGAGAGATATAAATAGTGCATCAACAACATATCGGAAGTAAGTTGATTGTTTCCGTGAAATATTTTGGAAAGAATCAGATTGGAGAAATTCTAAGAAAATACATGCTATCACTCCACAGAGAGACGATCCCATTGGTAATCCAAATTTTTGTTATTATTAAATGTGCAATATCATTTATTCGTGATGAGACGGCAGATTTTTATTATTTTAGCTATTTATAAGGAGAGAATTATATGTGATGATTTTTAAAGAGATTTAAATACTTTTCAATATCTATATATGTAAGTACAAAAGGATGCGTAGTGGTTATGCGGAAGTTTGCGTAACGGAAACGACAAAAGAAATTTAATCCCTCCAAAATGAACTGTTGCCCTCTCAGACATCGAATTTTACGGGAGAATCCATTTCACAACTCACTCACACACACACACAAAAACAAAGCATCAAACACAGATAGATACACGCACACACTAAGAATGATTTTCAAGTCAATTTGTTCAGTTTGTGTATATGATTTAAAAATAAGGTTGAACCAGAAATAATTACGTCAAACATGTTAGTGAAATCTCATATTTGAATGAGTGAACCTATGGGAGAGTATCTGTTCATGTATGTGCACTAAATTTCCCTGCAAGTGTTTGGCAGAGTAGATCAAGGAGGCACTTCGGATACTTAAAATATCTGGATACTTTCCAAATATTGGAATTAGTTTAAAGCTAAAGAAGGAAGTATGACGGAATACCAGAGATTCCAGAAAAAAACTACTCAACTAAATAAAGGAGGAGGAGGGTTTGGTTTGGTTTGTTTTACGGCATATCAACCTCAATGGGTCATTTAATGTCGATAACTTTTTTTTCAGGTAATATTTTTGTTTTGTCAAAAATCTATTTCCGGTAATAGTTTTTTTTTTCAAAAATTTATTTCTGGTAATAATATCTTACAAAGTATTTCTGGTATTAAAACCTATTTTTACACTTTCATAATGTTTTTACCCCAGTTTCGGGGTTAACTATTTGCCCATAGCTGGGACCCTAACAGGTGCTACCACCCCGGGTCAGGGTGGACCTGGGAACACCAGCAATTAAGAGGTAGTTCCACGCTCTTCAAAACCTCATGATCAGAAGCCTTGCTGCTGGACGTAGATTATCGTCTGACCCAGGACGCGGATGTAGTTTAATGTCTTACCCAGGATGGGAGGAGGAGGATGAGGAAGTCGTGAAACGGCATGAGAACGAAGAGGAGATGTAAGAAGCTGGAGGCGAGAATAGAGGAAGACGTAGATGAGATAGAGGTGGAAAAAGAGAGGGTGAACTGAAAAATAAGGAGGAAATAGAAGTGAAGAAGTAAACAGAGAAATAGGCAAAATAAAAATGATGATGATGAGGATGATGATGATGAGCATGATGATGATGATGATGAGGATGATGAGGAGGATGATTATGATGATGATGATGATGATGATGATGAGGATGATGATGATGAGGATGATGATGATGATGATTAAAAATTTAACTAAGGAAAGAAACAAAATCAGAAATGAATAGAAAGAAACGGGGAGGAGAAAGAAGAATGTTTAAACGATAGATAAGGAAGAAATGATAACGTCAAGGTATGCAAGAAGAAATTTAAAAGAAATAAGGCAAAAAGAAATAGAAGAAGAGAAGGAGGAAGAAAAGAACAACAAGAGAGAAAATGGGAAATAAACAGACCAGAAAAACGACAGAAGTATAATTAGAGAAAGGAAGGAAAGGAAGGCGAGGAGACCAAGATTAACCAAAAAGAAGAAGAAAAGAAAGAAGGAAAAGAGGAGCAGGAGACAGAAGAAGAAGAAGAAGAAGAAGAAGAAGAAGAAGAAGAAGAAGAAGACTAGGACGGAGGAGAAGGGAGAAGAAGAAGAGGTGGAGGGAGAAGATGAGGGGAAGATGGCAGAGGAAGAAGAAAAAAAGAAGATTTGACATGATTGGAATCGTAGAAATGTCACAACGTTGACAGCAACAAAGA